GCACAAATACTTACTGGTAAAATGTTGTGCAGGTGACAAAAGCTATACAAATTATAAAGAGCAAAACTTGAAAATTCAGAGAATGAATGCTTCAAAAATGTTCTTGAAAAAGTGTAAGTAAGGTTGAAAGATAACATGGTGGTACTAAGACAATTTAGATGATTATTTATACCAAGTAGGAAGATGGATGCCAAAGGAACCTATAGACATGAGCTAGGAAAGCACATGGAATTTAATTTCTCTAAAGAAACGAAACTTAAAATGGAAATGTTATACCTGGCAAAACAGGAGGATGAAAATTGGCCTTATATAGTTGAAATGTTTGCCTTAGTTTGTCAGTGCAGGATATTTTTTTTCTAATAAACAACCTTGATGAGAATAAATATCTGAACAGAATCTTGAAGTACGTGGAAAATAATGCAGGAACAAAAGAATTATGATGGTGATATAAACCTATTATGCTATTCTAAAATGTTATGAAAAATTAGATCTTAATAACAATACAAATCTTTGGATATTAGAGTGCATTTTGAAACAGAAGAGATGAGATGCAAGAGGATTGTCAATCTGGAGAGATGTATTTTTCTTATGCATAGTTTGGGAATTATGTCGTTTCTTCCAGTATAAACATTGACTCTATTAATAATAAGAAGGAAAATGTCCCTTCTAATCTGGCCTTTCCTTTCCAGGTATTAGGAATATAATCAATTTCCCCCCAGTGCAGGAGTCAGCAACTTATATCTATTTTTAAATACATTTTTATTGATTTCAGAGAGGAAGGGAGAGGGGGAGAGAGATAGAAACATCAGTGATGAGAGAGAATCATTGATTGGCTGACTCCTGCATGCCACCTACTGGGGATCGAGCCCGCAACCCAGGCATGTGTCCTTGACTGGAATCAAACCTGGGACCCTTCAGTTCACAGGCTGACACTCTATCCACTGAGCCAAATCAGCTAGGGCGAGGGTCAGCAATTTTGATGGAGACTGTAATTGGGTGAATGTGAAGTTGTTAGAGACGGTGAAATGTAATCATCATTCCAGTGTTTTATTACAGGTATCATTGCGTTTCCTCCATCTCTTCCATTGCGTGTGACATATTGTATGCATCGACATGCTGAAAGATGGAGTGCTTTCTTTCACTCAAGTGGAAGATGTAGGGCAGAATTGACCGTGCAAGTGTGGGGCACTTTCCCCGCATTTTCATAAGCTTTGTGCTCATAGATTGCATGCTGTGCTTTTTATTTCAGTAACATTTAACAAAACCATGGCCATGGAGGAAATTAAACTCACACAGAATGTCCATAATGAGGCTCTGAGAGCTGATGTTTCAGGTATGGTACAAACTCTGAGTTGCACGTTAAAGAGACAGAAGCCGTCTTTTTCCTGTTTGCAGTTTCCAAAATATCCAGATTTAACCATCACTGACTTGTCCATTAACCTCCACTGCCTGGGGCACAGCAGAGGTACCCAGAAGGATAAGCAAAGCCAAACAGAGGCAGCCAGAACAGGTGTTCATGCGTCCTCCAACCCAGGGGAAAGCTTCTTAGGCTTTTGTTCTGCTCTTAGAGTCTCTCTCCACAAATAATCCTGTCCTGCTTGGTGATCCAGTTTCCTGTTTCACAGGCGTAATAAGCCTGTGGTGAATTAGAAAGGAGAAGGGATTATGAGAATCAGACTCACCAGCCTCATAAGAAGTGACAGAAATGTCAAAGAAGGGGCAGAATACTTATTATTCATTATTTATTTATTATTTTGTTTTGTTTTGTGGAAGGGTTGGTAGGTGATGTGGGGGAAGGCTGATGGTGATTGTGCCAGGTGAGCTTTAAGTCTGCTCACAAGTTTGAGACTGGGTGGCCTCCACCCCAGAGTGCTCATTTTAAAATAGGCACAAATATGTTCAAGGCAGAAGGACCATGCATTGGGACGGACTATCCTGTCTTCTTCAATTTCTCCTCAAGATATCATTTTATTACATCTAAGCTTCATAGGAAAAGCCCCAAAATATCAAGGACAGTTTATATTCTGTTCACTGTATGATCTGTTATAGAAAAATGTCCGGTAAAAATGCTTTTGTTTTAAAAATTTTTATACTAATAGGGATAACATTTTAGTTAGCCTCATCCTTCAGTAATCTATAATAATAAAAGTGTAATATGATAATTAGACTGGACAGCCGAAACGACCTTCTGGACATCCTTCCAGATGAAGCAGCTGCAGCAGGGGCTGAGGCAGAGGCGGTTAGGGGCGATCAGGCAGGCAGGCAGGCAAGTGATTAGGGGTGATCAGGCAGGCAGGTGAGTGGTTAGGGGAGATCAGGCAGGCAGGTGAGCGGTTAGGAGCCAGAGGTCCCAGATTGCGAAAGGGATGTCTGACTGCCGGCCTGAGGGACAGCTAGGAATCGGGCCTAAACCGACAGTCAGACATCCCCCAAGGGGTCCTGGATTGCGAGAGGGTGCAGGCGGGCTGAGGGACACCCCCCCCCCCGCCCCCGCACGAATTTCATGCACTGGGCCTTTATTACCATATAAATGAGAATTATCATAATATAATGCATTGGGTGAGCCCTAAAATATATTTATTCTTATTACTACTGATCAGAACATTTTGATTTTAAACTCCCATTTCAATTTTTTTTTAATTCCTTCAAATGAGTTACATGGAAACCACCAATGATTGGGCTTACCCTACCTTTCTTGGCAGAGATAAACAGGATATGCATATACTAGTTCGTTCTTGCTAGTTAATTTCCTGGCTGTTTTATGTTTTTGTTTTATTTTATGCAGAGCAGTTTCTCTCCCTTTAAAAAAAAATAGCAGGTTGAAATTAGGTTATTTGGATGTTATATACACTTTTTCTTTTGGAAAGTAGATATCAAAATTAGAGCAAATGAGAGCTTTGGAAGAGAGTCTGCATTATGCTCGCAGTAAACTTCTCCCCCTCCCTCCTTACCCTCCACTCTCCATCACGCACCCCGGCCAGCATGACGTGACAGTGTGTTTGTGAAAGCCTGGCCCCAGAACAGCTTATGTGACTCATACTATGAAGCTTTTACTACCCCTCTAGGGAGGTTACAAAGTTTCTTAGGTCTCCTTATTTCCTTGTTGTGCAGGTTGAGATTTTTTAAAGAAATGTGTTTTATTTGTCTTGTTTAGATGATTCCCTTGACTACACTACTTCTTATCTTTCCTTATTGGAAATCACAAATTTACTTTGCTGTGGGATTCTTCTACACAGCTATTTGTTGTAATTTGGAATATAAAGGGATTATCCCTCAAGTTTCTATTACTTGAACCCCAAACAAACCCAATTTCATTTTGAGTTAGGGGAAAAAAGTATACACACCGCCATATAGCAGTACACCTGCCATATATTTTCAGCTGCCATTTCTTTGAGATACGAGAAATTGTGCAGCTCATTGGCCACTTTTTCCTGAGGGAATTTGCGTTAGTATACGTCTCTGATATTAGAAGTTGCCGCTACTATTTGATTGGGGAAGAAACAGATTCATAATGATCTCATTTTTAATACAGCAAGAACTTTCTGTCCGTTTCTTGGATGGAGTCAAAGGCAGTACTTCGAATGGAAGTAGGAAGGAAGGGAGGAAAGGAAGGAAGGAAGGAAGAGCTGAACTGCTTAGCACCTGAGAAGAAGTAGGTACATAAAACCTTCATAAGCAGAGCCCTGGTTCTCTACTTATGAGTTTTTAATTTCCTACAGTGCGCCAGGGTCTGTGCGCTAGCGCTGTTTCACAGGTATTTTTCTTACAGCCATATTCTTTTAGTGTCCACAGAATAGAAAAGAAAATTTGTCCCAATGATGACTTAAAAAACAAAAAGGCAGAAGATTTGTGCCCTAAAAGTCGAAGGGGAAAATAAATGGCATAGAAAAAATAATATACTTTAAAGTTATACCAGCGTATTAAACTTAGGGTACCAGTTTTCGTCTTGGTGATTGGTGATTCAAAGTTAGGATCACCTGAGCAGCCATAGATTGCTTAGGTTCAGTCAAACGTTTCCTACGTTTTTCACTCACCCAGTGGGTTCCCTTGTATTTTATCAGCTTCTGGATTTTTGTTTGCGTTTTGGTGGGCTCCTCCTCAGTTTTTCCAGAGCAGAGTGGCTTTTGGGGGAGGTCAGCCTGCACAGCTTGATGCACAGCCGATAAGACAAATCCTAAAGAGGGTTGTCTCCAGTCGCAGATGCTCCCCCTAAGTTGCACTGGCAAGGGAAGATGATCTTAAAAAGCAGAGATGTGAATGAGAATTAATCCAAAACACAACTCTCAAGGTCGCAAACTGAAAGTAGGAGAAATGCTAACATTTTGTGGCAAATACTGTTAAGGTCTTTTTCATGCTTTGAGCGGTATGTCGATGTGGGTGTGAGCGACAGGCTCCTTTAGAGAGACCCTGACATTTCTTTCTGCCCTTCCTTTGAAGACTAACAGTATTGGTGCGATTTATTCCTCGCTCCCTCAGAACTTCTCGGGTTTCCTCCCAGAAAGAAGTTTTCTCTCCACTGAGCTTCCAAGAACAGATTTCACATCACTGGAAGTTAATTTAAACTTGTGACTTTTACGACCCCAAGTTGGGGTAGGGGCTCTTTCCATGGACCACACCTGCCATAACACAGTAATATTCTTCTCTTCTCATTCATCATTTGGGAATAAAAATGGATTTTCTTTTTAGTTCCTTTCAAAGAGTAAGAAACTTTAAAACACTCAGAAGTCTATTTCTCATTTTACCAAAACCATTATAATGAAACAGTTTTGCCTGCATCTTGGTATTACTCTGGCTTCTTGTCTAGCATCCTACATGCACTATTTGTTGCACGTTCTCCCTTATTTTGGCTCAGCACTCAAAGAGAAAGCCAGCCCAGAGCGCCCTCATCCATCACATCACACAAGTGATAAATGGAGCTAATTTACTCTCTGTGGGTTTTTAATTAACCCAGAACATTTTTTATATGAAATAGTTCTACTCAATAAAATTTTCATTAATTATCAGCTGGGGCCCTAGAGCCAAGACAGAATAGAAAGAGAAGGAATGGATAGTTCCCTTCCAACATTAACAATGTTAATACATCTAAGCAGAGGGGGAGCATATGTCACTCTACACAGGGTCCCCAAGTTGTTCCAGGATAAACGTCACCCAGCAGTTTTTGAATATGCCGACAGTCATTTCACTGATACTTCAAGAAGTCACTTTTACCCGGGCTGGTGTGGCTCAGTTGGTTGGGTGCCGTCCCATGCAAAGAAAGGTTGCCGGTTTAATGCCCAGTCGGGGCACATGCCCTGGTTTTGGGCTTGAGCCCTGGTAAGGGACTGCAGGAAGTAACCAATCAATGTTTCACTCTCATATTGATGTCTCTCTCTCTCCCTCCCCTCCATCCTTTCCCTTCCTCTCTCTCTAAAAATCAATTTAAATTCATCACATAGAGTCGCCAAGAACAAGGGGTTGCAAATAGGCTTACCGTACTGTAGCTTTTATGTATTCCGCTGCCTTCCAGAGTTTTTCAACATGAAATTAATGGAAAATTAACAAAGAATGGACTATAATTTTTAAAAATATATACTTTTTAGAGCAATTTTAAGTTCACAATAAAGATGAGCAAAACATACATTTCTTGCCCTCGTAGTGTAATATTTTAACTTAAAAAGTTTACTTTTAGAAAAATAACAACTTTATTGAGATATAATACACCATTTTAAAGTACATGATCCTGTGTGTTTTAGTATATTAACAGAGTGATGCAACCATCACCACTCTCTAATTTCAGAATTAAAATTTACTTTTAAATGAGGAAATTAAAATGCCACTTAGAAAATGGAGAGAAAAACAAATATCCCCCAAAGTCACCATTCAAACCAAACTCTTGTCATTTTTTGTACATTTTATTTATTTTTTGCATCCAGATAATTTTACAGAGAGTGTCCTGTGCACTTATTTTACAATCAATGGCTCTGTCTCTTTAATGGAACTCACAGTGTAATGAGGTGTGCGGTGATTCTTACTGCTGTGTATACACATGAAATTATTCAAGTACAGAAAATAACTTCATGGCTGTGTGTGCTGTGGTGTGTTGCTTTTTATTAAGCCATCTCTCTTGGTATTTGAATATTCCAGAATACTGTTACAGCTTTAGACTTTTGCTCATTAGTGGTGGGTAGGTATCTTTTATTCCTTTGTGCTAAGGTATGAGCACATTGAAAGCTTACACTAATTGATAAAGCTGGAGGTTCCTTAGGTGATGCTGTCCCCTCAGATGAAGGGCAGACTCAGCACTGGACATGTTGCAGGAGTGATTTCAACTAGCATCAAGGGGAGGAACTGAGC